CCCCGCACCTGTCCCGCTCTCCCCCCGCTCCAGCCCCGCAGCTTCCCGAAGAGGAGCCCTTTGCTAAGCGAACTCCCTCCAACTTCATTGCTCGATGCGCCCGACTGTGAATAGCAGAATCACAGAATCGTTAAGCTGGGAAGAGCTCTGTGATCATTCGAGTCCAACCTATGACCTAACGCACCGTGTGAACTAGACCAGAGCACTGCGTGCCACGTCCAGTCTCCCCTAAAACGCCTCCACGGGCAGTGACTCCACCACCTCCTTGGGCAGCCCCTTCCAGTGTCTAATTAATCTTTCTGTGAAGAAATTCTTCTGAACTTCCCGTAGTGCAGCTTGAGGCTATGTCCTATTGGCCTGCCACTAGCTGCCTGAGAGAAGAGACTGATCCTCCCCTGGCTACAACCTCCTTTCAGGTAGCTGCAGACAGCAATAAGGTCACCTCTGAGCCTCCTCCAGGATAAACACCACCAGCTCCCTCAGCTGCTCCTCGTAAGACTTGTGTTCCAGACCCTTCCTCAGCTTCATTGCCCTCTCTGGACATGCTCTAGCACCTCGGTGTGCTCCTTCAAGTGAACGGCCCAGAACTGGACACAGCACTCAAGTACCGTAGGAACACAAGTCCAATGCTTATTCAGAATTCCCAGTGTCATCCCTGCATGCTACCAGGCTGGAGGCAATTTGCTAACAGTACATTTGAAGTACATTTTATAAAGCTGTTGCTTAATAAAAATCCTTAAAGAAGCGAAACTTGTAGTTGCTTCTAATAAAGTATTTGGGGTAAACTCTGAGGAATCAGCAAAAATGACCCTTGCACACCTGTGCAATCTCATTTATTCTCTGCATAGCCCTTTGTGCTTTATTTGATTAGGGGAATGCCTCTATGTACATTTAACTTGCTAATAAAAATTGTGCTTAGACATCAGAGGAACCAATTCAGGAATTTCTTTTTTGTATTTTAAGCAAGAACAAAAATCCTCAAACAAATAATGTCCTTGCAGGAAGGGCAATTAGCACCAACTATTCTACAAGTCTAGAATGCTACCGACCAGAATCGGCATGAACATTTGTAAATTTAAACCCCCTTTGGTTTTCAAAATATTTACTTAAACAAATCTACTTAGCATCAACATAGTTGGCAATTTCAGTACTTTAAATGGGAAGCTCCAGTCAGCATCAAAGAATCACAGAGTGGTTTGGGTTGGAAGGGACCTTAGAGACCCATCCACCCCCTGCCATGGGCAAGGACACCTTCCACTAGACCAGCTTGCTCAGAGCTCCATCCAGCCTGGCCTTGAACACTCCCAGGCATGGGGCAGTCACAGCTTCTCTGGGCAACCTGTGCCAGTGCCTCACCACCCTCACAGGGAAGAATTTCTTCCTAGTATCTAATCTAAATGGGAAATACTTGATATACATTAGTTCAAACTAATTAATGATGGGATAATACCATGTAAATGGAGTAACTGTACTGCTAAGCCCTTTCCTCTCCTGTTTTACTTTGAGGGTAAAACACCCCAAACCAGGTCAGTTGTGGACAGTTTGGCACCAGGTTTGCAGCTCTTGGCTTTTCCCACCCAGACTCATCACATGTTCTTTTCCCTTTGAAGGCTTAAATCTCTCACTGTTCTCTTTTCAGTGCTTCTGTAAACACACAAAACAAGAGCTGAAGGCATCTGCAGAACATCACAGGATTGTTAACACAACGTATCTCCACCTGTACTTGGCAAATATGGTCAAGAGACCTCTATGGATATGCCAATGCCTGTTAAGTAATTTAGCTTGTCCTCATCACTGGAATTACCATCCTAGTGCAGATTTTGTGATGTAAATATGTCGGTCCATGAAACTAGACAGTTCCTACTCCCCCTCTCCTGTTTGGCATGGTGCTCTTTTAAGCATAAACCTAGATGAGTTTGGCACTAAAGTGGAAACCATTTAATGTCAATTAATATTAACAGACATTTTCTTTGAGGGTTTAGCCCAGTTCATGGATCTTAAATGTGGAAGGTCTCACTGGGAGAGGAGTTTTATTCTGACATTTTTATCCCTGTATATTGTTTATTGAAACCCAACAACTTCATCCAGGAACAAAGCAAACTTTTCTGGCTGTCCAGGAGGAAAAGGTTTCAAAGCTGACAAGTCCATTGACTGCAGTGTCTCCACAAGAGTGCTGTAAAGACAGATCAAAACCAAAAATTAAAGAAAAAACATCCACCTAAAGGGCATTTTTCTATACATACCATTTTCTTTCTATTCATACACACATAATCCTTTAGCATGGAAACAAAAATAAGGACATGTATTGAAAGAAAGAGACCCCACAGGGCAGGAGGCCCCGAGCAGCACTGCTTCACAGCATTGCTGGGAACACACTTCCATCAGCTTTCAGACAACCTCAGCTCTTTAACTTGTTAATCTTCATCCTATTTGAACACATGGCAGAGTCCTCCAATGATCACAGAGCCAGAGAGAACAGCTACATCAATCTGTTACTTGCTGTTATCAGGCTGCAAATAAGGCTCAAATACTTGGCACTGCCCCACAAGAAGAAATAAAAATTCCTTCCCATCTCTGTAGCTGACAGAAGCACTGAGATAATGAGTTTAAGAAACTTGCCCTACATAAATGAATGCCAGACCTAGTCTGTTCAGAAAGCTCTTCTGAAACATATGAAATCCTATTTACAGGGCAGAGGAACAAGATGCAGAGTAAGTAATGGAGCTGCATTTCCTCTGCCTTCAATTTATGGGTCATCTGTTATTTTTAGAGTGCAATCAATCATAAGTAAAGAGAAAACAGCAAGATACAGTGAAAACTGGAAAGGAAATGAAACTAACAGAGTCAGAATAAACACTAACAAAAGGAGCTGGATTTCTGGTGGTGGGGTGGTTTTTTTGGAGGGTTTTTTTTTTTGGTGGTTTGTTTTGGGGTGTTTGTTGTTTTTTTATCCTGAAGTGACAGGCAGTAGACCTGTGAAACTCCTTGTCAGAGGAATTGGTGGATTCAGGAAATTTGGTTAAAAGGACAGCCTGAATAAGTACTTGACAGACAGAGGTACTGAAAGTTACTAACCAGACAGCACCTGGTTCAGGAATTCCCTTGAATCCAAGGACTTAGGAGCATTAGAAAGAAAGCAACACAAGCAAGTACTTGCTTACAGTTCTTGCCCTGTTTCTGCTTTTGCTCGGCATCTGCATATGGCTGCTGCTAACAGGAGACTGAGCCACATGGATTCCTGATTTGTATCAGTAAAACCATTCTTATGTTTTGTTCTAAATACTACAGACACTTCTAATTTCATTATGTCAGTGCATCTATAGACAACTTTACTGCCCTTTACAAGGAAAATCCACATAGCAAAATGATGAAATGGAGTCCTAAGTGTTTAAGCAAGGTTTATGGTTACAAACTGATGGTGGGGGCTGGACTATTTTTACACTTCAAAAAAAAGAACAAAAACATTAGTAAGAAAGAGTAGAGAAAGAAAGTAGCTGTTAGGTGCCTGTAGAATGCTACCTGACTGCTTCAAATTCAACTACCTGTATTTAGCTTAAATTGTTCTTCTTTTAATCTGAATACACGTGTTCTCAAATGGAAAAAATAATTAGAAGGGGTCAAAAGGCTTGCAAAGTTTGGTAAGTTAGCACCTAATGTCAGTCTATCCACTGTAGAGAATCTATTGTACAAAGAAATGGAAACTACAGAGAAGGATGTACATTTCCTCACTACATTTTCAATTCTGCAGTAACAGAGTGAATGTGCTGAGCACTTGTTCAGCCAGGACAGGCACAGCAGCTCCATACCTGCAGTTACAGTAAAGGAGATACCCATCTTTGTGGAGCTGTTTGGCCAGTTCAAGCTGATGGTTGTTCATCAGCTTGTCATTTATTACTACTATTAGTGGCTTTCCTTGTTCTAGAGTCTCCAGACAGCTACCTGCACCTGCAGAAGAAACGGAAAACACAATGAGTTTGTGCCCTGAAAGATGAAGTATCATCCTACTTCCTCTTGAAACATGGGATATTCTTAAAGAAGGACATTTAAGCACCCACCTCTAGCTGTGGACTTGAACATTCACAGCCAGCCCACCCCTGAGCTGGAGAATCATAGAATCACAGAATGTTAAGGGATTGGAATGGACCTTGAGTTTCATCTAGTCCCAACCCCCTGCCCTGGGCAAGGACACTCTCCACCAGACCAGGATGCTCAAGGCTTTATCCAGCCTGGCTTTGAACACTGCCAGGGTTGGGGCATCCATAACCTCCCTGGGCAACCTGTGCCAGTGTCTCACCACCCTCACAGTAAAGAATTTCTTCCTAATATCTAAATTTCCCCCCTCTCAATTTATACCTGCTACTTCTTGTCCTACTGCTACAGTACCTAACAGAGTTCCTCTTCAGCTTCCCTGTAGCCCCTTCAGATACTGGAAGGTTGCTACAAGGTCTCCACACAAACTTTGCTTCTCCAGAATGAACAGCCCCAGCTTTCTCAGCCTG